ACCTTTCCTCACCTCACTTCACTTCGCCTCGCCTCACCTCACCTCGCCATCGGGCTGCTCCAGCAAAGGGCTGTGTGGGGCTGACCAGGCGCAAGGCAGCAGCTCCCGCCCCGCAGCCTCCTCTCAGGCCTCTCCGCCATGCCCTCCGTCGCCCAGTTGGGTGCCCCCAGGTGCCTTGCAGTCCTCTTGCTGCCGGCCAGGGCTCCCAGTCTGGCCCTGTGCTGCTCTTCCTGGCCCGATCTTCGTGCCAGCAGTGCGGCTGGGTGGCTCCCTGCGGGGCTGGTGAGGCGGCATGCAGGCAGAGAGCAGTCCTTGCCCAGCTGGTGCCGTGAACACCAACGCTCTCCTGAAATTAAATGGAAAAAGAAAATAGCAGTGTTTGCTTTGAAAACAACTTGTAATTGGTAAGCTTCAAGAAGTTGCACACACCTTTCCAGTTATCTGTGTTTCCATGGAGATACTAATGGGACAGCCAAGCAGCCTACACGGCAGTCACGCCTGGGCCTCCAGAGATCAGAGTGCAGAGCTGCCAAAATCCAGCAGCTGGATAAACAAGTGTTTTATCTCAGAGGTGCATGGGGAGGACAAGAGGCAGCAGCCATGTGTCGCAGCAGGAAAAGTTCTCCAGGGCTGTGAGGAACGCGCTCCATGGCAGAGCGGTTGTGCTGTCTCCAGACCTGGAGGCTGCTCTCTTGTGTCTGGAGGAGGCTTGGGTGACCTGACCCAACGTTGAAGCTGTGCTTTAGTGGGAGGTTGGCGTCAATGGAGTCCCTTCCAACCCAAATTATTGATAGTTCATTGTGTGAGGGGAGAGTTAATAGCAAGATGAGAATGATCTGTGTATTGTGATTGAAAGTGGCTACAAGCCTGATTAGACTATTAATAAGTTACACCAGCTTCAGGAGCATGGTTACAAAGTCAAACTGTTTGGAAGTGGAGAGGAAATAGAGGAAATTAATTAACATTGTTTGTTTGGTGGTTTTGTTGGAGTTTTTTTGTAACAAGTAAAAGAGTTTGCCTTCACGACTCAAGGACAGACTCTGACCTGAGGAAACCTCTATAAGGTTATGGTGGGAGACTGCTCTAAGTGGTTTAGTACTGTATTTAAATCTGCATTTTATCTCTTTCTGATTGCACTGGAGGCCGTGGGTCAGCCTCAGAATTTGCTTGAACTAAGAAATGATTAGCAGGTTCAAAGACGTATCTTGCTGGTGTTAAAATTTATATATACATACATAAATTAAGCCAGTGTTGTAATCAATGCTCTGTCTCAGTTTTTCTATGTAACAAAATGAAAAAGAAGTAAAAGAGTTTTTTAACTTTCCAGTTTAGACAATTTTATCATTTGTTTTTGCCTCCAGAGACCTTCTAATCTGGAGTGATTTGTTTGTTTAAGTGACAAATATCTTTCTTTGTTAACCCTTCCTATCCTGTGTTCAAGCCGCATATATTTTGGCTGTGCTGTTTTTAATGTTAAGGTGATCTTTTTGCTTCCCCAGGGCTTATTTTTATCACATTACAGCTCTTGTATATAGCCTATGTGTGCAATTTGCCAGGGATGATGCTCTGGGCTTTATGTATTTATTTGGTTTTGGTTTATGGTCATTCTCCTTTGGACAGTTGTGAAGCATATTTGCTACTAGTTGTGCCATCATCTCAAATCTATAAACAGTGGCAGTGTATGGCAGCTGGTACAGTCAGGGCCTGCAGGGTAGGGCGTACATAGTACAGGTTGAAAGAGGAGGATGGATGTGGTGTTGGTTGAAGCAACAAGCTGTTTGCTTTTGAAAGCTTCTCTTTTGCAGATGGTTTCTATAAGCAAACTACTACCATGTTAAAGCAATGTGTTTTGGTGGCATTACTTTTATTGTTAAAACTGCAAGAGTGGTAAGAAATCAGCACTGCCATCACATGGGGACTGCAGTCTTGTGCATGACTGGTGGTCCAGAGGGAATAAAGGTATTGTCTGGACTGTCCCGTGGGGTTTGTGTGGTAGCAGCAGGTTCAGGAAGGGATGAGTGAGCGTGGCTCCTTGGGCCACAGAAAGACAAAGAGAGGAGACAACAGCAGCAAAGTGGTAGCAGAGCTGTCCCAGGCTGCTGGACAGGCCTGGAGCCAGGGAGGTCTGTCCTGCCTCTAGCCATGTCTGAAATCACAGTTTTGTTTGTTAACGTGATCCACTGGACTGGTGTCTCTCTGCACTGATTACTGATACCAGGGCTTAAATGCTGCCAGGGAATTATAAAAAAAAAAAAAAATGAAGTTTTTTAAACAAGCAAACAGCCTTTCCTGCCTTTTAAAAATTTTTTTTCTCTCCCCACTGGCCCTTATTTTACCCACTGGAGATGTGCATTTCAGGAGAGGCTCTAGGGCTCTCTGCTCCTGCCTTGTGTGGCATATTGATATATGACCCATCACTGGGCTCCCAATCCTCACTGAGACACTAGACCCGCTCCCTGGCCCCTGAGGATTCAAATACCAGCACTGCATGCTTTGCTTTCTAAGTAGTAAAGGTTTTCTTTGCATGCTTGTCTTAAGGAGATCTGGAAAACAAAACACCTTTCAGTTGGTCCATCGTGCACCATGCTATGAAAGTTTATTCTTGCCACTTTACATCGCCCTGTATATTGAAATGTTGCCATCAAGATTCAGACCACATGTGCACCTTTCTGTTGAGGAGTATGCACCCTTAGTGAGGAGCTCATGGATGTTGTATCATCTCTAACATGTGCATTAATACGGGACAGTCATTTTAAGGGTGGGAGAAGGACTCTTACAGTGGTATTTGTAGTCCTGCTGTAACGTGGTTGAATTTGGCTCAAGGTGGAGGAAGGTTGTAATTCTGTATTCGTGAAATCTAGTTTCCATGCGTCCTCACTTTGAAACATAAGATATTTAAAATTATTGTATTTTAATGAGAATTTTGTGTTTACAACTGTGATTTATGTCCTACCTATAGTGATGGTGCAGAGCATATTGTTTTACCTTCTTTTCCTTACTGCCAGGAATTAATTGTGGTTGCACGGGTCATACCTGTGTAATATGCAGAAACATTAATTTGGATTATTGGCCTGCCCATGTGGTGTGAAGTCTGCTTGATTTTGTTGCTTAACTTAAATATATCATTTATTTAAGATATTCTCTGTTGACAGTTAAGTGTGTTTTGAAGAGGTTACACAATCACTTGAGACACAAATGCTCCCTCCTCAATGTGAGATTAAACTTTTATAGTGGAATATACACATTTTTAAGAGTGGAATAAACTTAATCCTTCTTCCCTTGTGCAAACAAATCCCAAGTGTGGCAGTCATTTAAAATGAATTATTATGGGAGGAGGCTTGAATTCTTCTTTCTTTTAGTACAGAAAACTTGCATAGTCCTTCACAGGGTGGGCTGCATCCTAAAACAAATCCTGTCTTCAATTGCTTGGCCATCTTATATGAGCACAGGCCTCCTTTCATGAAAACAGTGTCTTGGTGACAAGTGCAAGTTTTGAGTAAAACAATCATTGTGAAAATTGTAATAATATTTTCCTGTATTGCTTTAGAGCCTGATGGTGCATGGGCAGCTCAGTGGCACTGACAAAGCAAATTATATGACAATGGTTGCCAGGTTAATCTGAGCATTTTTGGTGCTAATTTACATGATTTTCTTGTAATTTTCTGATGTGAGTTGCTCATTTCACTGAAACCTCACTGTAGCAAGAAGCCATGCCTGAGCCTTTGTGCAACAGTCGGGCAGAGCTTTAGCCCTGGGTCCTTGATTTTTAGAATGGGGGGAAAGGTCCGAGTACGAAACTTCCAGTTGTTTGATCAAACTGGTCCTCACAAAGTGCTGACACTAGTGTCTAGCAGGAGGGTAGATGAAACAGGTTAGAAACATATCAGAAACGTGAGTATCAAATTTTGGTTTGTTTTAAATTTGTATTGATAGACATTGTAATTGGGAGATGGATAATTTATTCAAGCATTGAATAGTTTTAATTTTAAAAGATTTGAGATAGCAAACAAGAAAAGAACAGATGAAACATGGCAAATTCAAAGTAGAGAATTCCTCAGATGGGTCCTCTGGTTTTGTTCTGTTGGTATTTTTTGCGGTAAGCATGTATGCTCATAAAAGTGTTCCTAAGAAAATACTCAGATGTCATAGAATATTTAAGTATTCCAATTTTAAAATGAGATTTAGATTCCGGTTCTACAGTTCCCTTATGTGATAAATTATTTTGTAGGAAGGTATGTTTTTGGTGTTTTTGTAAAGGTCAGGCTTGTGTAAAGATAACTCCATATACTGTTTCAACAGGTTTCTAGTATCGGACATTTTGGGGGGCTTCTTTGAAAACAACTTCTGTCAGAAGAATGGCATCGTCTTCTCTACAAATCTGTGCATTGCTGCTGGCTTTAGCAGGATTCACCATTTCCCTTGTTACTACCATGTCTAACAGATGGAAAATTGCGGACACCGCAACAGGGCTAGCTACTGCAGACTGGATTTCTGAAGGTCTTTGGATGGACTGTGGAGTGACTGCTTTTGGGTCAATAGAGTGCAAGAAATTTCTCTACATGTTGAGTTCAGACAGTAAGTGCACGTGGCATATGTATGTAAAATCCAGGGATGTATTTTTATTCCTTCTTTCTGGACAGCATGTAAGCGCGGTTGGGCAGCATATACTGTGGTTGTCACAGAGGGTCTCTTATGGACAGGATTTGTCCTGAAATACTTGCAGACGGATTAAAGGGCCCCAGTGAAACCCATATATTTCACCCTGCAATTCATCTCAGTAACTGTTGTGGCTTTATTGCCATCTCTATTGTGTTGGCATAGAGGTATGGGTGGTATACAATTAATCTAAGATTTTTTGTTGTTGTTTTGGAAGAAATAGTATCCTTTTACTCAGCCTAATTCTTAATTACAAGCAGATCATAGGTCATTGAGCGCTGGTGCTTGTTTGTGCTTTGGTGTGAGACGGCTTTGTAGATATTCCAGAACTTGTTTGATGCTTTGTGCTAAATCTGTGTATTTGTTCTGGAATATCTCAGAGGCGTCCGGCTTAAAATACATCTGTGCGACTGATGCTTTTGTGCTTTCTGAGGTAGACTGTGGTAGCAGGGAAGTTTATCTGCAAATAGAAAGAGAAGAATTTTCTTCATAGGGACTGAAAATTATTTGTTTGGATTATTCTTGATTTTTAAAATATCTTTCTGTAAACACATTTTTTATGGTAAAGGACTAGGAAGGACCAACATTTAAGTTCTGTAGAAACAGTAACAGTATAGCCTTTGACAACCGGTGTTGTGTTTAACTTTGCAACTTAAACAGAACTTTGCATTTATTCTTTTACAACTTTCACTATTGTGCAGTCACTTTATGAGTTATATCATGGAATCTTTTCTTCCCTGCTTTATAGATACCTGATTACTGTCATTGCTGTTTGTCTGGACTCTTTCCAGCTGATTTATTCCCAATGCACAGTGCTCAAAACTTACAAATACCACGTCTCACAGACTATGAACGCTTGTTTTTCATGACACAAACATGGACTCCACTGGAGTCAGAGCTGCTTAACTGTAAGACAGATCTCTAAAATGTGAGAATTTAACTCTCAAGGGTTAACTCTCAAGATTCAGCATATTTGTGGTTCTTCCTCAGGGCCCTGACTTCAGTGGCCTCATCTGCTTTCATGATGATGGTGCTAGTTTAAGAATAACTATCAACATCCTGTAATGAGGCCCGGAATTTGTAGCCTCAAAAGGTGGCTAATCATATTCTTTCAAGGATTTAAAAAAAATACTCATTTTGTCAGATACAGTGTCAGCTTTTCCTATTGTTCTGGTACCAGTATCAGAATGCTCCTCTCCAAGACTTCCTCTATGTAGATACCAGGGTGTCTAAGTTTCATCTAGAAACTTAGATATGATTTCTGGAAGTTCATGTAATGAGACGGGGCCAACAGTCCTTCATTTCTCGTATGTGGTAGCAAGATGGCACGGCAGCTCTGCCTTGCCTCACATAACAGGGAGAAACAGATGTTTCAGCCCTAGTATGGAGACAAATAGTGTCAATGTGGGACAGCCTCCTTTTTTAAAAATACAGTTTCATTACACCCAACATGGAAAGAAAATATTCCCCAAGAACAGAAGAGTTCCTGGTGAACTGAAGAAGTCACCTCCCAGGGGTTGTTTTCCCTCCCTTCCTGCAGCCCCCATAATTGGAAGACTCTTGGTTGGCAGGACTTGGTGAATCATCTTCAGCTGTTCAAAGAACTGCGTGTCCCCTAAAATCAGAGTGGGGTTCCTCATGCCAACTGACGGGCATGTCATGTGGCTGCCTGGAGTGTAATCGCTGTCTGTCGCAGGGCTGTTTCTCCTACAGTGCTCAGTCAGCATTCCTGGGTCTTGAAACAAATCTGCAGAAGTGATCAAAAAGGTAAAGCTCCTGTTGGTCAAACATTTAAGCTGTTAATGTTTTCAGTATTTTTTTTCTATATTGGCTGATCTGATTTTAAAAAATACTATTTCTGCCTGTAAACCATTTCTCAACCATATTACATGCTAATGTGCTCTGTTTTGAGAATATCAGAGGGGTTAAGAACAATTTTTCTCCTTTGTTGTGTATTAGTATGGTCATACATGGTCATGTCTTGGCATGTCTATATTACCATTTTACTTACATCAGGAGTACACTTTTGTAATTAATGTTCCAATTATTCTTAATTACTGCACTCAGTTTGCATTGTGAAGTGGTATTGGAATGTGCACATTGGTTTCCTCGTGGATGAAGCAAAGCAGGGAAATATGCTCCAGGAATGCACCTCCAGAACTGCAGCAGCTGGTGGGTGTTCAGTTCACCTGACTGGGTTAGAGCAAGTCTGAAGGAAAACTCCCGAGTCGCGGGAGGAGTTGATGTGAAGCTGTCAACACCAACTCTTTTATTCTGCTGATGCAGAGCCTCCTGCTGAGCAGCATTCGCTGTTATGTTCATAGCTTACCAAGCCATAGTTTATGAAATTTAGTGAAGAATAACCCTATACTCTTCAACACCACTGAAGACTGATTTCCTTAAGGGAATGATTAAAATGCCTGGTGCCATATAGGAAAAACTCATGCATTCCAGATCTGCAGTTTGATCTTTTCTGTTTATATGTGTGCTTTATGTCTGCCTGTTGAAATAGCTTTCTTAATTAGGAAGAGGTTTGGGGTTTTTTTTAATTAAATTCTTATTTTTTTTTTTTTAATCCTTAGCAGCAGTGTAAAATCTGGGAAAACTGGATTCAAGGTCTCAACTAAACTCAGCTTTGAAAGTGCTGTCAGCAGAAGTGATCACTGAGGTCACCATGGTAGCACCTGTGTACGGATAAATTAATTTGAAACTCTGAAGGGCTTTTAATGGGATGCAGATACTCCAGTATACTGGTACCATGTGTTCATTTTACTATGCCATCATTTTTCAAATTGCAGTGACTTAGCAGAAGGAGGGAATTCTGCAAAAGTCACCTGAGAAGACCAAATCTTACCACACACAATCTAGTTTCTTTAAAAGATGCCAAGTACAGAGCTGCACAGGATCACACTAGCTGTGCTGCCAAATCTGCTCTTATTTAAAGCAATGGCAATGATCTTCTTAGCTGCCAAGGGAGCAGAAATGTTGCGATAGCACCGTAGTATCCTTTTGCAGCTGAGCCTACCAACCTACAGCATCAGGTCAAAGTGACCAGTGAATTTTGAAAAAAACCCAAGATAGCAGTTCTGGGCCAGCTGGGACTCAATGGCTGATCCTTCTTGTGGTCTTTCTGTAAATGCCGTGAATCTGTTACTGTGCTGTGTCATGGCAGGATCGTTTTATGAAGAAACTCTGACTCCATTTCCTGGAGATAAGAGCAGGTTATCACTGCAAGAGATGGTTAACCCTGTTTGGATACACAAGTAGTTTAAGGTATTAACATTAGTGGGTGATGTGCATTGAGTCTATGATTTTGTCAAGTCAAGAGCAGAAGCAAGTAAACCAAGTTTAACGTCCTTCTGCTTTGCCTGGAATAGATGGTGGTTTGTTTTTTTTTTTTTAATACAAAGATATTCTGACAAGCAGATGCAACCAGCTGATATGTGTTATTTTTCATAGAGCTGTTTCCCCTCCTCATTTTATTCCTTTTGAGATAGGTCTGTCACACTGGCTCATTATATTTCATTTCTGTGGAACATGCATTATTACAATTGTATTCCAGTGTAAGCGGGACTATTTTTAAGACTGAATGTGTTTAACTACAGATCAATAGACTGTAAACTATTAATGGAAACCACTCATCCACAGACTTAACCTTCCTGAAAGAAGCTGTCTGTACAGTTGCTATGGATCACTTTGACCATAACTCCAAAAAATGTGCTACATTTTCTAGCAACAGAATAAATTTCCTGTTCTCAAGCTTTTTCATGCCTGAGTCATCAAGAAAACAACACAGTAAAGCTTTTTGATTTGAGATCAATAATAAAGTTACAAACAATTTTAATCTTGTATAAACCCTATTTGACTTCAGAGCAGAGACAGAAATAAAATATTTGCCAATGTTATCACTCTTACAAGATACTTTGTAGGAATACTGACTGGACTTTCTAAGCTGAGACTAAGAGTAGGCTCATTTTGTTACTTCTCATTAGAAAAAGAATCAATATTGTTATTTTTTTAAATGTTAATATCTTTATCATGAACTGCTCCCACTTATTGTCATGCACTGTAAGCCTTATCTCTGGGGTTGAGCAAAGAGCAAAGGTAGCCTCATTTTGGAGTGAAACTCGGAGATAAAACAGCAAGGAGGCTTCTGAAAGGCTTCACTTGATTGTAATCTAATTATAGGGATATTTAACTGTTACTACTCACAAGCATGACTGCTGCGTTGGAAATTGTTGGTTTTCTTTTGTGCTTGGGTGGGTGGGCAATTATTGGAGCTACTTTGCCGAATAATTACTGGAAAGTCTCCAGTATACATGGTAGTGTGATCACAACGTCTACATTGTTTGAAAACCTGTGGAAGAGCTGTGCAGAAGACAGCACTGGAGTATCCAACTGCAGAGAATTTGACTCTATGCTTGCACTGCCTGGTATGTGACTTTGCGCAGTCTTGTTTATATTGCTTAAAAATTTGTGGGGAAAAAAGTTGGAAGTGTTTTGTTTTGGTAACCTAGTGGTACTGGAAAATAACTGGCCAAGAAGGACTCTGTGGGTTGAAGTAATAAAAATCTCTTAAGCAGCAGAATGTGTCAAGCACATTAGGAAAGGCTATAAAATTAAGCGAATGAAGTCACTTGATCAAGGCTTTATTTTAATAGGCATTTTAAATATGGTGTAAGCTGTTTTCTAGCATCTTGTGGGAGGAATTAGTAGGAGACATTTTCTAACACATCTTATGACAGTTCCATGTTTATTTGGAATTATTGTTTGGGCCTTCTTTTGCAACACTTGATAACCAATGTACTATAGCTGGAGTTTTTACATATAATATGTAAGAAATACTATTTATAGCTAAGAAGTGGTAGTGTTTTTTTCTGTGTTGAGACTGAAAATCGTAGATAATGCAAGAAATACAAGTATATATTATACATATAATAACTTAGTGTATTATGAGTATATTTTATACAATGAGTATATATTATAAATTAATATATTTGCCAGGACTTGTTAACTAATGTTTTGTTGGATGAGGTTCAAAAGGTCAGAAAATTTAGATGTGCTGGCTCCTCTACTCTGTACCGGTCTTTAGCAGAACTGTGGTTTGTCTCAAATGCTCAGCTAAGGCAATATTACTGTTTATAGACAGTAAAGCTATTTTTTATTAATCTTGAATAATTCACTATGTAGATACTTATCCCAGAATAAAAATGCCTTCCTACTTAGTTGAATCTACACCGGGATGTGGCTCAACTACATAGGAAGCAGGATACTCCTAATCTGAAGAATGTGTAATATGGGATTAGTGGGAATGAGGTATTAAATTCACTTTCTCTCTGTCTGAAATAAACTAATGTTGTTGACCATCTCTGACACTAGTATAGCAATTCTCTGTAACTGTCTAATTATGTTCCATATTTAGGGAATAATCTGTTCTTTTCATCTGTCAGTGTTATCTAACAATTTGCTTTAAAATGCATGTGTATATTAAGAAGAACATAACCCTATATAAAATTCTTAGACTCAGCAATAGCAGGATCATGTCTGTTGGGCATTATCCTCTGCAGAGCGCTTATGTGAGTGTGCATTTGGTTCAGGTATAAAGTCCCGACACTGACTCTAAGCGGCATCTTGTCACAGATGTATTTACAGGTGGTGCTGCCTCTGAGAGTGTGATGGAGCTCCCATGCCTGCCGATGTGAGCAATGGGCCCTATCGGGTCAGCAACTTGCAGCTGCTGAGAAAAAAGTAGGGTTTAAAGAAATTGGGTGTAGGGGGGCCAAAAAGAGCATCATGAGTGGATATGTTAAAGCAAAAGAAAAAGGAAGGCAAGCAACAGCAAGGCTCCTGGAGAATTGCAGATAGCAACCTGGAGTCAGCAGGGAGGAAAAATGGGACCCGACAAAAAGTAAATGAATAGGCCAGGCTCTGAAAGTGAATTTGTGAAGATTAAATGCGATCCATTGAAGAGGAGACCAGTTACTTTGTTGAGAAGATGGCAGTGTGTTTGCGGGGTATTGGCAGGGGGAAGAGGAAGGGAAAAGCAGCTTGCAGCATTGTAGAGGAAAAAATGGTTTTAGAAAGGAGAACTGAAAAAGCAACAAGTTGGAAGACTTTGAAATTGTAGAAAAAGTTGAGAAGACAGTTTGGCAAACTGGGCAGAAAGTGGGGTTGGTAGCAATGGGGCTGAGCAAATAGTTGGGACCACCAAGAAATGTGTGTAGCACTTGCAGGTATGAGCCAAGGCAGACTAAAAATTATCATGGGTAGTTTAAGTGTGTTTCAAATTGTTGTTAGAAATTTAGCTGAAACTGCTGCAGCAGAATATGCTAAGGGTTGAGAGGAGGGAAAGAAAAAAAAGAAAAAAACCAAAAGTGTCTTTTCCCTTTCATCAGAAGAACCCTAAAGATTTTCTATGAAGGTTTCCTTATTGACAGCTGAGCTGCTGAGCAATGTGGTATACCTCTGGTTTTTGTTCTGTGCGTGGGTAATACTAGACTTGGATCTTCGAAACAGGTTTAGAGCTTTTGAATTCAGCAAGCCATTAGCCCAAATCAAAGTGTTTGAACTCAGGATCTTTTTTAAAGCAATATTGCATAACATTGAAACCGTGACTGACTACTATGTCTAGCTAGCACTCTCTATCTAGTCACAACTAGAGCTGACATTTGATGTAAAGCGATTGTTAACTGCCAAATGCTTTTAAACTTTTTTTTTTCTTGTTAAGATTCCATAGGAGTTTCTTCCAATGACAGGATTTTAGGATAATTTCTTACAATTAATATTGGTTAATAAAATTAACTGACTTTGTATCTTGTTTAATGAGCTCATTTTTAAGATGAAGACAACAGGAAGCTGAGCTTTCTAGACTGTGAAGTGAGCTGACCAGTTAAGGCTGTTGAGGTTATCATGTTGTGGTACAAAGAAAAAAAGGAAATCTCTTGGCTTGCAAAGCAGTTAGCCCGAGGGTATGCTTGGGCATCCTGGAGAGATATGGGCAGTCCCATTTAGTATTGCTGGAGTCCCAAAGACCTGAAATATAAGTTGTTGGATCTCTGCTATGGGTAATTCCTGCTGCCAGGCTGCAAGATCCCAAACTAGACAGCAGCGTTGGAGTTGAGTGCTTGTCCTAACTGTATCTTCTGCAGGCAAAACCCTTAAACTGGTAACGGTACTTTGATGGGTCTTTCCACTTCTATTACCCTTTGTATTTTTTTCCAGGAAATTTTAAAATTGATGCTTAACAGAACATTTATTCCTTGAGCAATGTTATCCTTTAATGCTTCTGTGTATTTATCTCATGACTGCTTATTCCTGCCTTTGATACCTCTCAAGCCTGCAGGACCAATATTCTTGAGCCACATAAAGCCATACAGCCCACTGAGACTGAGCATGAATCTATCACTGCACCTCCTGTTTCTGTGACTGGTGGTTGTTGTCTGGAGAGTTACGGGCTCGCTCCACTACAGAGCCAGAGAGCAGGTTACCATGTAGGACACAGAGGTGATCTGGGAGTGTGAGCTTGCATGTTAGCATCAGCAATGTGGCTGTCCAGACACAGCCCACTTCAGGCCCTTTTGATGTGTGGTTAGCAGCCAAGACCGGCTGGATTGGTGACACCTGGTGTGTTTATCTCATAGCAAAGGTGCCAAAGTGCCATTTGACCTGAAATCTGCCAAATCCAGAGTGCCATTTTAAAGGAGCCCAAAGTCCCTGTCTGACCTTCCTTCTTAAGAAGGCTGGTTAATATTTTGTTCTGGTTTGTTTTGTTTTTGTGTTTGTTTTGTTTTTTTTTTTTTCTTTTTCAATTGATACCTAAGCGGGAAGACGAGGAGTTTAACTGATGCAGAATTGTACCAAATTCCCTAATGTGCCCATACCAGCTGTAACCTCCCAACAGGAGTTGGTCTTAGGTGGCCTGTGTGCTCAGTGACACAGGTGTAAGGAAGTCACCAGGACTTGTGAGTAGGAGATGTAATTCTTCTGTAAATGACCATATATGCTGCTATGCATTTTCACACTGAAGATGGGCCATGAAGGGCTTGCTATAATTTTTCAGGGTTTACTAAAGGCCCGATAGGATTTACTGAGCTTATAAAGGGTTTGGATGCTTCTCTGAACCAAATAACAAAGTTGGACAAGCTTCTACTTCTGTTCATTTTGTCACTCCCTCTAATCACTTTTTTCAGCACAAGATTAATTTAAATTCTGTATAGATCCTGATTTGTTTTCTCTTTTTCTGTCTTAGCTCATATTCAGGCTTGCCGTGCCTTGATGATTGCTTCCATCCTCTTGGGATTCATAGCTACAGTGCTCTCGCTGCTTGGTTTGAAGTGCACAAATGTTGGGTTGAGCGATGAAGATGCAAAAAGGAAGTTTGCTGTCACGGGAGGATTTCTCTTTATTTTAGGAGGTAATAGCAGGGCTGAAATGAGAATGCTATCAATACTGTGTATCGCTTTCACAGCTAGACTAAATGAAATGAACACTTGTTCTTGGTTTAAAGTTGTTACTGCCATTAAAGGAATCGTTCACCTGTGTGCTTTTTAAACTTTTTCTGGTAGGTCTCTGCTCCATGGTTGCTGTTTCTTGGTACGCTGCGATGGTTACTGCTCAGTTCTTTGACCCATTGTTCGCTGGAACCAAGTAAGTGAATAGATCTGTCATACCAAACTCCATCATGTGTTATAGACAGCTGCACTAACCTCAGCTGCTCCAGAGTTGCAGAACCTGGATGGATCCTGTTATCCAGTCCCACAGTAAGAAAAATCTGTATTCAGGGAAACTTTTCACCTCAGAGATGTTTGCTGTCGGTGGGGATGGAGGAGAGGTCTCTTCTGGAAAGTTTAGTGAATGTGTGGGGAATATCATTCCCACATCTGAGGAGTTTCTGTGCTGTGTTTACATTTTCTTGTGAGACTCAATTAAGCACACATCTCAATGCTATGAAGAAGAAAAGGTCTTATTTTTCTTCGTCATTTAGACCAAGAGGTGGAAAATTCTAGCTACAGCTGGAATATAATGCCTCAGATGTACAAGGAAATGTAAACTGTACAGAAACCGCCTTGACCTGCATACTAGTGACCCACAGATAGCTGAGAAACGTCACTGAAGTGTGCTGCTTGTCTTAAAGAAGTAAAAAAATATTTTTTACTATATATTAACAGCTCAACATTTGTTTGCCTTATGAATTAAAATGAGGCAACGTTTGTGGGACTGCCAGCTCATACAGTTGCGCACAAGCAAGTTTGGAGGTATAAAAGCCTTATTCTTGTCTGACATAAAAGCAACAGTCTTCAAAACCAAATGCCCGCTTATAGCACCTTATCTAGGTCAATAGATTTAGCAATGAGGAACAGGGGTGGAGGCAAAGAGGCCTCTCCTTCAGAGAGGGGGATAAAGGAAGAGGAAAACATAATATATTGTCTGTGGAACATGAGAGAGCTTGTTTGGGCAAGAGGGGACATTCATAATTTGCCAGTGCCTCTACCAACTATATAATTTTTAGATCAGTAAACCAGAAATCGTTAGTTGCTAGGATCATATTTGAAGTGTCTTGTAAGTTTCCTCCTGAGGATCAATTCAGAGAAGCCAGAGGTGAAATGCTTTGTTATGAACCAAAGTACTTCAAGCAATTGCTTTGGATGTTTGTCAGTTTTCCCTGTTTTCAAAGAAGCACTTACAAAGAAATTGCACTTGTGAATACTTTTTGTTGTTTTATATCCCCTTGAGAGAATTATATGAAGGGTAATAAATACGTTAGAGGACCGAAACAACTGTTGATAAGGAATTTCAGTTAGTGGGATAGTTAGTGAGTTTTATAGTTCTCTGGTATAGCTTTGGGGCTTCAACATCAATGCATGTTAATCAGTTACCAGATGGTTGCATTCAGTAGCTCAGGAAACCCTTTTTTTAATATTTAAACTTCATGTTTAAGACTATTGATTCACTAAGCAGTTCTTACTGAATTAACTTTGATCATTGGTAAAGCCAGACATGCTCTTGAGAAAGTTTGTGCTCCTTGGACTCTGTGAGATGGGTTTAAATTCAATTGCAGGCCACTATTGATCTTCACTCTGAAGAGGCTGGCAAATCTGTGTTTTCAGATTGCATTTTTTCTGGCCTGACTGGCAAATTAGTAAAGTTAACTGCTATTAATTCTAAGAGAAATTTCTTATACGGCTGTGAAGGCAACCTAAGTGCTCCTGCCAATCCCTCCTGTGTACTTTCCTTTGGTATAATGTCATATAACCACAGAGAGTGCTGAATATTCTTTAGGATATATAAGTTTGAATACTAGCCCTCTACAAATAGCTGCTTGTAGGTGATGTAGTGTTGTGTCCATAGACAGAAATAGAAAACTGATTTCTATGGTTAGCCTTTTCTCAAGACACAGACAGTAAGGTCCGAATCATTCAGTTTCACAAAATGACTTCAGTGGCACAGCCAATACAAGGGCAAAATGAGCGTTGTGGGCTGCACAGAAGTTATATTATTATCATTTATTATCACCAATTTATTAAATATATGCAAGTATTTATTGGTACTTATCTTTATGTTGCTTAGTACTTTCTGTTCTGTCACCAATTTGGCAGAGCACATAAATATACCTGTAAGAGTTTTACTGAACAGACACAAAGCCAGAACACCACCTGTTCTCCTCTGTTACCTGTTGAAGTACCTTTCAGTTAGCTGATCTACACAGACTAGAATTTGTTTGTTTGCATGATTTTGTGCACCTTATGGCTCAGTCTAAAATAATGGCTTTGTGATCCTGTTATATGCTGCTTCCATAAAATCTTTCATGTTTCAGATATGAACTAGGAGATGCTCTGTACTTAGGCTGGGCTGGATCTGTTCTTTATATGCTTGGTGGAATCTTACTGACCTGTTCATGCAAAGGGAAGAAAAAACAGGGCTACAGGTAATTTTGGATTTGTCAGTTGAAATAGCAGCTGTCCATTATATACTATTTTCTATCTCTATACTATTCTCTCTCCCTCACTTTCTGATAAAAATCTGGAGCCATATAAAGTACAATCAGGAAATTGTACCTATTAATTCAGTGCTATGGCATGGCACAGACTTGTGATGGCAGGGAATGCTGTACCAAATGCTTGTACCTCCGAGACAGTGTACTTGTTGGTACTTTGCAGTCAGTGGCCACCTGTAACTAGTATTTGGTAATTCTGGGTACTGCTGATGGTTCTAAGATCTACATGATGAAAATGTGCAGTGAAAGAGCGAACTATCTATTGCCAAAAGAAAAGTATTATAATAAAGTCTTTCTGCAATACTCATTACTATTAAAATATTCAGATGCCATTTAATTTGCAGAAAATGTAATGGCATTTCCTTCCCAAAGCACATCCAGTTGATCATTAGATGGATATGATTTTTTCTCTTGTTCCTTATGGAAATGCCTTGTTGCGCCTCAAATCAGAAGAGCTGAGATTTCTGGCCTCAATATGCAACCTTGCCTGGATTTTTTTTTTTTTTTTTTTTCCAATCTTAAATTATGCACACATAGAGAAGGTCCCTTTCTGAAGGAGAAGGATGAAATTGTCAGGAATAGCAGAGGTCCATGTCTATCCAGAAGAACACAGATGTCATGGAGGCTGTACTGGCTAAGCTTGAGAGGATGATAACGTGGAAGGAAGCAGCTCACTGCTGCTATCTTTAATCTTAGGAAGTTACGTCAAAACACATAATAAATGAGAGTGTTCTTCTGATTCTCCATAGCCCAATCTGAAGCCATTTAAATTTTATGGTAATATTTCATCAGCCACATTGGACTTTCGATCTCACTCACCAGCCTTTGATACTAAGTACCAAATATCCTGAAATATCTTGAAAAATCACCTAAAACTGATGTATGAAGTAGAAGTTGAACATGATGAATGCCTCAAGGGCTTGGCTCCTGTTTTCCTTTCTTATCATCTTGATTCTTGTATTAAAAACTGCAGCTTGCACAAAGGCACTAAGGTCTAGATTCTCTTCTGCTTTAGAGACTTGACTAACATGCGAGGGAGAGCACATGTGGGTTAGGAATCCAGAGCATGTTTCTGGTTACAAGAGAGTGGGCCGTGCTGCCTGCCAAAGAGCCCATCTCTTTCCCCTTAACTACAAGACTGATGAGAACAATAGGCCTCTAGTTTCTGCACCTTTGTAAAGTACGTGCTATCGGTGGGTTGGATACAGACCTAAATATGTAACTTCCTAAGTATCTGAAGCTGTGGACATGTGTCTAATAGCTATTTTTTTGTATCCTTTTTTTTTTTCTTTCTTAATTTACAGTTGCAACAAATACGCATATTCAGCAGGCCAGGCAGCTCCTCAGCAGCGCATTTACACCAAAAACTCTGAGACAATCATAAGCAACAAAGAGTATGTCTAAACTTACCTTTTACATCACTTGTAACATTAGCAGGTTATGAACTCAAATAAAGAAGTGGCTACTTCCACGGCTCCAGTTCCAAGTTGCAATCTTTCATCTTAATTTGGAGCAGTACAAGGACGTATGGTTTTCAATGTAAATAGGAATGGTTTTCCAGGAATGTTTTCAAATGTAAATAGGTTTCTACAGAAAATGCTGTGATGTGAAATCCTGCAGCATGAAGGTTTTCTGCATGCCGAGAAGCCTGGTAAAATTTAACCAGAGTGCAGTGTTTCCTGACAGTCAAGAGCAACTGTATCTATTTCAGCTGACTCAAAAATGCGGAACTGATATGCTGTAGCTGACTGCCAGTTAATATGCCTTACAGTTAGAATGTGTTGTGTATTCATTAATGTTTAGCTTCCTACTTTTGTTTACCAGCTTTAGCTTTTGACAGGCAATAAACCTTATTTCACAGACTGACTGAAACAGATATATTTTTTTTATTTTATCATTGGTATCTTGGGCATCAATAAGGATATAGTCTATATACTGTGGGCTTGAAGCCTCATGTTATAATGAAACTCATATTAGAGTTTCAAGAGTCAAGATTTAGAAAAGCTAAAAAAACCCCAAACCCCTAACAACCATTCGCCTCCAAATCAGCTGATGTGCAACAAATTTGTTGTTGGTTGTAATGCAGACACCAAAGATAAATGCTACAGAATGAACCAAACACTGGAAGCGGAGAAAGTATCTGGTGTGAAAATGTTATGTGATAACTATGAAGATGATAGCCCCAATTTTTTATTTCTGTTTTCAGCTTTTAACCTAATCCTCATTTAACTCTAATCAGTCTTTACCTTTGGGAACTTCTACTGCATCTGAATTGTCTAGTTCATTTAATTCCCCAGTTGCTTTATTCTCCATCGTTGTTCCATCATTAGCATGTCTACCTTAAACCACTGCACTGCTGGGAGCCTGTTTGCCTTGTGTAAGCACCTAGACGGATGATGATGAACTAACTTTACTTTGTGTTGATGCTTTGAGCAACACGGAATGGAATTTCACACTGCAGGTTTACAGGTTTCCTAACTTGTCCCTTTTAAGTTACAAATGTATTAATACAGTTTGACAAAATACCTTGGTGTTTCTCTCTACTTTTATCATCTTGTGATAAACACAGTTGTAGTTTGATTTAGAAGCTTCATGCGGCTTCCTTTATATCCCAACAGCTAATTTCACAGGACAACCTGCAAGCACTCTTAGCAGAAATGATTTAGCTGTGTTGTTTGCATACACATACAGCTGACTCGTAAACTGACACATGAAGGCGTGAATTGGGCATTGCCAGATCTTACTAGGCTTAGTAAGGAGAGCTAAAAGGAGTGAGGATTACTTTTAGTAGTGAGGATTACTCTCTCTGGGCAGAGAAGAACTTAATGAAATATAACAAGGGCAAGTGTAGGGTGTTGCATCTGGGCAGGAACAATGGCAATGGGTGTGAGCTGGAACACAGGAGGTTCCACTTAAACTTGAGAAGAAACTTCTTTACAGTGAGGGCACTGGCACAGGCTGCCCAGGGAGGTTGTGGAGTCTCCTTCTCTGGAGACATTCAAAACCTGCCTGGACGCCTTTCTATGTGATCTCATTTAGGTTCCTGCTTCAGCAGGGGATTGGACTAGATGATCTTTCGAGGTCCCTTCCAATCCCCAACATTCTGCGATTCTGTGATTAGAGTACCATGCAAACATGCCAGTGTCGTCTTTCTCCTTCCACTGTCAACTACTCTGTTAAAAATCATCCCTTTGGTCTTTTGGGGAATAATTTCAAAAGCCAAACAGGCACGTAACTTGCATGGTGGGAGCTGCACTCCTTACCCTCATCTGTATATTCTGTCCTCTGGATTTTTAGGTAATTTTGTGATGGTATTTGGGTCTAGTTGGATGTAAGGAAAATGCAGAGCTCGGGCAGTGACTAAGCAGTCCAGTGTCACTTTTCCACCAAAGGTTGTGTCAGTGCATGAACATGAATAACAAGACCAATTCAGAACTTCCCTGGTCTGGTATCAGATCTTCTAGTGATATCACTGGGAAGTTTAATTAAAAAAAACAAGAGTAAAATCCCTGTGTAGTAACTAACGCCTTCACTCATTCAGTACGTTGTTACTGTGTTCAGTGTCATTTGGGGAAAATAAATGCTGAAGTGATACCCATGCCTTTCAGGGGTTTGTTTACAGTCCTTCCAACCACCTGCTCTTTCCCCCTGCTGATCTGCCCCTTTCCCAAGCACCTTCAGTGGTAACGCTCTGAACGGATTTGATGAACCATCAACTCAGTTTGGGGAGTAAGGCATTTTATGTAGAGGTGATTTATTAAGTGACTCCCCCCTTCTCCCCCCACCCTCCCAGAGCTGTAGCAAGTCACTTAGCTCTGTAAAACATCTTCACACACTGCTATTTTCAAGTCCTGTGCTCAGCAGATCAGACTGCTTTGGTATCTGCAAATCTTCTTCATATCTCTGCAGCTGACACCAAAATCCTGCGTTGGGTTCTGCTACTGGCCTTGCAGTCTTCACAGTCTACAAAAAAGGAGCGACATTGTAGAAGCAAGAGAAGGTACCATGCAAACAGCTTGCTTTCTCTTAGACTTCTGAGTAGGTTTATTTTGGTTTTGATTTTTTTTGCTGTGGAATAATAAACAGATATTTTGGTGAGCTGACCTCATTCTGTGCTGGCTAAAACCTCCTGGCATGTAGTCCATGTTACAGCATGGATTCAAGGGCAAGACACGAAAAGGCGCTGTTGAATTTGCCGGAAATGTGAGTCTCTCTCACAGAGTGTGGTGACACAGCTGATCTTTAAGCTAGAGTGAAACTTGCTCACATGTCTGCATGCCTCTGTCTAGCAGTGAACAAAACAGTTGTCTAAATTAGAGACTAGAGATACACCTACCAAATGGGTGGAGACTAAAAGACCATAGAGCACGAGTCGTAGGTATTGGATGGGCTTCCTGACAAAGCTGAGATGCTGTTACTCACAGCTAGCTGTCCCTCGCTATTTAGCAGGCCTAACAGATGATGTTTCTTTGCTGCGTTGAGCTGTCACATAGGAGATAAGAGCAAATACTGCAAAACAACTTCTGCCCATACTTGCTTTCTCTTCAGTCATTTGCTTTATGTCTCTGTATTTAACTTCACTTATCATGACTAAGCAAACAATAGGGAAAGTTTTCACAAAACAACCCATTTTGCATATTTGCTATCAGTGCTTAAAGCCTATTTGCATTTGTAATTATATTTCTCACAGAAATCTCACACCGAAAGTGTATTTGTCCAAGTTTGGGGGGGGAAAGGG